TGTTTCTCTGTTTCTCTGTGTCTCTGTCTTTGCTTTTGTCTGTAGCTGTCTTTGTCTCTGTCTCTGTCTCTGTCTCTCTCCTTCCCTCCATCCTTCTGTTCCCTTGTGAACTTTCATCTTTCTGTCTTCCACTCCCTCTGTTTTGTATCCATAATGAAGAGTTGCCAATGTTAACATTGATTCCATATTTAAGATTTTTAAGTGATTTCTGACAAAATAATTTGGTGCTAAAACTACCAAGAGGGCAACTAGGTGGTACAGTGGCTCCTGGCTTTGTGTCAGGAAGACTCATCTTCCTGAGTTCAAATCTGGCCTCAGGCACTTACTAGCTGCCTAACCCCAGGCAAATCATTTAACCTTGTTTGCCTCAGTTCCTCATCTGTAAAATGAGCTGGAGAAGAAAATGGCAAACCACTCCAGTCTTTGTCAAGAAAATCTTAAATGGATACATGACTGAAATGACAAAACTACCCAGAAACCTTCTCCCTTGCAAGTGAACTAATCATCTCAAAGAAGACTTATTTTTTGTGTTCATTTTGAAAGTTTGCAAAAACACTGCAAGAAACACATTTTTTTCTGGGGAAAAGAAAAGGGAAAGTATTCTAGAGAACTGGAAAGCTTGCTTATTTCCAACAGTACTAGATGACATTATTCTCTTCCTGTGAGTGGTTTGTCCAAGGTTAGTGGTTCCCTTCCACTGACCTCTAACAGCTGAGCTTGGACTCAGCCCTTCCCAGTAAGAATGCCTGACCAAATCCAAGTGATCATTCCTTTCATTTTAGCCTATAGCTTCTCCAGATTGGGTCTGTATAACAGTGCTGTTATAACAGTCTCATGCAGCTGTTTCATTAACAGTGACTCATGTATTAAGTGAAGTACTTAGCTGCTTTGGTGTTGGTTAAGTTTTGTTTATTTCTACCAGATTTGCAGCTGTAATAGTTTTCCAGGAGCCAAAAAAAAAAGCATTTAATTTTGCTGATATTATGCAAAAGGTGTTTTCTGATATTCTTCAAGCTTTGCTATCTTCCTTATTCTCAGGTGGAAAACCTGAAGGTGGAAGGAAATTAAATTTAGGAGAAGTAGAACCAATACACTCATATATTGCTTAATCCCTTCTCCTGGTTCCAGCTGGTAAAAATAAATCACTGACAGGCCGTCAGTAGGGAAGAATGGAAATAATAAAATAGAGGATACACTTAGCCAGCCACAAGTCTATTTGTTTATTTACATGTCTGTGTGAGTGTTTATAAATTGAGGGTAGTGACATGTTATCTTTCCAGTGAAATGCAGCATGCAATTTTTCACATTCTGTTGCATAACAGCTTCCAATTTCTTTTTGCATTGCAGTCTTATTAGTGTGCATATGTGTGTGAATGTGTTAAAAAGTCAGCTTATAGCCACGGTTCTTCATGTGAAGCAAAAAAAAAAATGTTACTTTTATAAAATATTTCCAACCAGCATTTCTTTGGGCTCATGATTTTCACTCTTGCTATTATCAATAATGGGGAATGTCTCCATATTTTTTTTCTTACTGCTGGAGGACAAATGGGTGTGCAAAATGCTGTTTTCATCCATCCTCAACTTAATGCCCCTAACCATGTGTTGTAAGCTCATTTCTAATAATTTAATTACATGCTTCAGGTTTTTTTTTTCAGAAGCTATTCCTTTAGATTTATTCCCTTCATTGCTATGTTTGGAGTTGAAGATGGAAAAGATTTCTGGACTTAACTGAGTCTCAGTATCATCTTCTGTAAAATTAAGAGATGGCTCTTTCAAAGTTCCTTTAAATTTGTGAGCCTGGAACTTTCATGAGTGGATCCCCTAACTCTCATGCACATTGACTCTGTGTCTTTTCCACATTATTTATGGTCATTCTCTGGGGTATAAATGGTTCTGAGTTTGGAGTCAGAAGGCTTAAAGCCCGGCTTTTCTTATTTTTAATGCAATTTTAGATAAATCACCCTCAGTTTTCCTATATGTTAAATAAAATAGTTGGACCAAGTAATCTCTTAAGGTCCCTTCCAGCTCTGAATCCTATGACACCTCTAAGAATCATGTTTTATACATATATATGTATGTAGGTATGTATGTATGTATGTATTCCTTAAAGCATTCAAGACAACAAAACCTTTCCTAAGAAATTCTGTGCTTTACTTCTGTTCGAGAATACATCCAGTGTTCTCATTATTATAGTTTCAGGTGACAAGAATAGCATATATTTTTTTTTAAAAAAATAGAGTTTTTCAACAAACCTGTTTCATGAAAATGAAACAAAAATAATATGTAGGTGTCAAATAAGTAACAGAGTCACTAATTATTGTTGGTAGAGGTACCTTGGACAGAGGTCTAGGCTTAGAGTCAGCAAGATTCCAATGTTTCCAGTGCTGAGTCTAACGTAGACTATGTGATGCTGGGTACTTCACATAATCTCTTAGTCTCTCCTTCTCCCAAGAAACTCTCTGAGACCATATGTTTCTGACCAGAAGAGGTGGAGAGACTTTATACATAGGGAATTTATACATTGAGGAATGAGAGGGGAACAAGCATTTATTAAGTGCCTACTATGTGTCAGGCAATGGGCTAAGTGCTTAAAATATCACCTCATTCCTTTCTGTATGTTACTTATTTGTGTTGTTGTTGAATCGCTTTTTAGTCATGTCTGATTCTTCATGACCCCATTTGGAGTTTTCTTGGCAAAGATACTGAACTGGTTTGCCATTGCCTTCTCCAACTTATTTTACAGATGAAGAAACTGAGTCAAACAGGCTTAAGTGACTTGCCCAGGGTCACACACAGCTAGTAAGTGTCTGAGGACAGATTTGAACTCAGGAAGATGAGTCTTCCTGACTCCAGGCCCAGCACTTTATCTGCTGTGCCAACTCAATGCCCTGTGTATTTGTATTTTTTTGTCTGTGTAAAAAACAAGCTGTACTTTTATATACTGAAACAAAATTTCAATCAATACTTGCATTGTTTTTCTCTTTAATGACAATAGTAATGATTAAGGAAGTAGGCCAGAAAGAGAATGTAGAAAGTGGAAGAAAAGCTAAGGGACTAGATAATATTGAGCCAACTTACTTTGACAATCAGCAAAAGCCTGCCTTTTCATTTTAAGTTAGCCAATATATAACTATTGAATAAGAAAGCCATGCTATTAAATGCTTACCCCAAAATTTCTCGGAGGATTTATATTTGAAACATGTGCTTGCTTTTCCGTAAAGGAATACTGAGCACTCATATCTATCTAAAAATGTTAAACACAGAATAAGCCTTCATGCCGTAATTGAATTGTTTCAGTATGTGCTAGGTGTGACTGTATACTCAATAAAAGCTCATTAGAAACTTCTCTCAAAAGAGAGGATGTAGTCCAATGCGGAAGAAGCCTGTAATCTAAATGGCACATTAGCAAATACTCATCTATTCAGGTTCTTCATTTTAATTACATTTCAATGTATTAATTTTGATTCTGAAGACTTATTAAAGTTGAATTGGAATGCTTTTATATCTATCACATTCATTCATTCATTTGGCAAACATTAATTAGACACATACAGATTAGGAACTGAGGAAAATAAAGGATTCTATTATATCAGATCCCTGTTCTTAAGGAACTTATGGCCTAGTGGAGGTAAGGTGTACAGAGAAGTATAATACATAATAGAATATGGGGCATAAAAAGAGTAACAAGTACTGTGATATCAGCAGTGTATTCAGCCAACATTTATCAAGTGTCTTTATGTATAAATCATTATTTTCAGTTGGGGAGATAGTTTAACTAAGCTATAGTCTCTAGTCTCATAGAGCTAATGATTTAGTAGGGAATATGAAGCGTAAGAAAAAAATTTGGAGGTTAGATTAAATATTTTTCACAGATCTCAGCTTGGGTTTGACCCTCCTCCCTCTATACTGCAATTCAACCTAATGTGAGATTAGTACTTTAAGATGTCCAAGGGGGAAATGGCCATTGTTGGTGAGGGGAATTATGGAAGACTTCTACAGAGGTGGTATTGGAATTGAGCTTTAGAGAATAGGTTGGGATTGAACGGGCAAAAAGAAGAGAGAGAAGGATTTAGGAATTGCATAATTAAATGTGCAAAGGGGAGAAAATGCTGGGAGTAGGCTGGGGATCATGAAGAATTCTTCAGTTTGGCCAGAGTGTAGATAAGTAGAAAGGAGTAAATAGAAATAGGAGTGGACAGGTAGGGAGTGTGGGGCCAGATTGGAAGGTGGTTGAAGGCTAGCCAAAGGAATTTAAACTTTATTTGGTAAATTTAGTTCATCAGTTCTTTGTTGGAAAGTGAGTAAGAAGTGAGTCCAAGATCCTACAAAATAATGAATACAGACTTAATAATCATCCTTTAATTTGATTAAACTAACGTTAAAAAGGATATTTTTTTTTTAGTTGGAATAATCTCCATTCTAAAGTTGGTTATTACAAGATGCTTTGTACCATACCATATTTTATCTTGTATATGAAGATAAACAGAATGGTAATAATATTTTTGATAATATTTGGGGGCAGTGGATAGAGTGTTGGGCCTGGAGTCAGGAAGACTCATCTTCTTGAGTTCAAATCTGGCCTCAGACACATACTACGGGTCTGACCCTGGGCAAGTCGCTTAAT